ATAAGTTCATGGATATTAGATTGTCGTGAAACGGAATCCACTGATTATTGATGGATAATGAAGTGAAGAAGTGTGGTCAATTTGCAAAATTCTGGTATATTTTCTGTAAATCCAATGTTCCATCCAATTCATCCATTCTACGTCCATAGTTCAACGCGTTCCGATAGAGATCATCATAGAGACGTTTTTCGTAGGTTGAATGCACATGATATGGATTGAGTGCGTGAATGACGACGCACAGGAACATAGCCAACAATGTGATTAGTAGTAACGATTTCATTGTTGATCGAAAATTCTGATGCTGGAATCTCAAAATTAAGAGGTGAGAATATGGCGAATCGCACGTAAAATGTGTCACAACCGATGGCAGTGGTGACAATGGAAGTCGCAATAACGCAACTGTTGCTTATGATTAAATATTCGGTATTGTCACCAACATTATAAAAGTTTCATAATAATAATAATAATAATAATGATAACAATGGTGACAATAACATCGAAACTGAAGTGACGGATATAATTTGAACAATTGTCGTGAGATGAGATGCGGAAATGATAGTATTATAGCAACAAGGAGGAATATATTTGCGTTAATGATGATAACAAATCGGTGATTTTCGGACCTCCTCAACAATTAACCATTTGNAGGAATATATTTGCGTTAATGATGATAACAAATCGGTGATTTTCGGACCTCCTCAACAATTAACCATTTGTGATCGAATGCGATCGAACCTCCTCATCCTCTCGCAAATATAGTGATGTTTAGGCGTTGCTTTGTAAACTCAGAATGTCATTGCAATATAAAAGTATACTCTTTACGGAAGAAATCGACCCGGTGAATATGGTCTTTGCCCCTCACCTGAATGGATTGATTCCTCTTATTTTCACTTATCACTGTACCAGGATGATAGAGAAACTTCAACTGATCCGAATTCAGTCTGGTGATTTAATAGCTACTTTCTGGGATATTTTCTAAGAGCAAATGTTACGTTGTTGAAGAAAGATTATTTCCTGATGATGGCATCAACGTTTCGGTGCTATGGCATCTTTAAAAATATGTTTGTGTATCACTGAAAGTCATTACGAATTTTTTATGGATCAACGGACAGGATTCATATAAAATATGGTACGAGATTACTTTTATGATTCCTCACCCAAACACCATCCATCGAAAGTACACTATGTCTTCAAGTGATTCAAAAGATGTTACTGAAGATGACATGATGCTGAAACATTGAATATCCTCGCAATATTTCCGTTTGAGCCCGTAATCATTGGTTAACAACGTTAATTTTAGTGTTTTGGTTCATCTACAGCCACCGTTCGCCTCACAAATGAGGAAAGCTTCCAGGAATTCATCAAAAGCTAATGAGCAACCGTTGCTGAACAACAATGGTCAA